AAGCTCGCTCCTGCTCTACCAACTTGCTTATGGCTAGAGAAAAATGGGCAAATTCATTGGATGTTGGCAAACGCCTGGATGTTGTGTTCGTGGATTTCAGTAAAGCTTTTGATAAGGTCCCGCATGAACAGCTTCTCTACAAACTCCGAGGAATCGGTGTCACTGGAAACTTTCTCTCGTGGATTTCCGATTTCCTGCACAGTCGTTCCATGCTGGTGAGAGTGAACGAAACGTATTCCGATCCTGTACATATGACCAGCGGTGTCCCACAGGGCTCCGTCCTCGGCCCCGAACTCTTCAACATCTTCATCAACGATCTACCGTCTGAGCTTCAATCGGATTGCTTGATTTATGCGGATGATCTAAAGATATGGAAGGAGGTATCCTCTCTAGAGGATGCTGATCGACTACAAGAGACGCTCGATCTCCTGCACAATTGGTCGATTCAGTGGCGCTTACCCATTAATCAAGACAAATGTTCCGTCCTGCCTATCGGCGCTCCTGAACCATTCGGCGCTTACCACATAGGTGGTTTCTTGCTCAAAAATGTCACTTCAGAGAGAGATCTAGGCGTGATTGTTTCCCCAGACTTAAGATCCACTCAGGACACCATGAAGAGGGTTGCCGCTGCCTACAGGATGTTTCACGCCATCCGAAGAGCTTTCTGCCGCCTGACGCCGGAGCTCTTTAGACTCCTGTTCACCTCGCATGTGCGCCCGATTCTAGAATACGGCCTCCCTGCTGCCTACCCGCTTTCCAAATTTGAGCGCGACATGATTGAAAAGGTCCAACGGCGTGGATCGAAGTTTGTCTCCGAGTTACGTGACCTGCCTTATCCCCTTCGGCTTCGACATTTGAATATGTTTTCTATGGATTACCGTCGCCGGCGTGGGGACTTGATTTTTACGTCGTATCCTCAGGGGAGAGCTAGGGAGAGAGTTGCAGGAATTCTTCCACCTCAACATTGGGAGTTCGACTAGAGGCCACCGACGGAAAATATTCAAACCACGGAGGCTCAAAGTACGGTCCATTCTTGTTCTATCCACTCGCGTTGTGAATAATTGGAACCGGTTACCGCCGCCCGTCGTTGATGCACAGACGGAGGATTGCTTCAAACGACTACTTGATTCACACCTGTTGAATATGCCGGGATCGTGTTGCTTCAGCTACGAGTGCGATGGCCTCTCCGGAGTTTCCGTTGCGCAATGACGAGCATCCCAGCAATGATCGGGAAGCGATGGAGCTGACAAGGGACCTCTCTCCTGCTCTCTACTACCCAATGAACCAATACCACAATGACGCTGTCAAAATCTCATTGATCGCTCTTGGCACACACGACACTGCGGTTCGGTTCGCTACATGTGTAATGTCAATGATCTAACTCTTTTTGACCTTCTCTCTTTTCCCTTCATATCGGCGGCCTGACAATCAATCAAGAAATTTGGGCTGTTTGTTAGAAGATGACAACGACTTCAAAGAACAATAATAATAATAATTGTTGTGCTTCCTATTCCGGTTTGTGTACAATTAACCCTTTTTGTTTGAATAACCTGAATTTAGGGTTTTTGCCAGTTACACACTGTGTTTTGCCTTGACTTTATTCGTGTGCTGTGGCCCCTGTAACGCTTGTTGCCGTCGGAATCAGTTCTTCCCTGCGTTCTTCAGCCGTTGACGATCTTTCGTGCCCCCTGGATTATTGCACACTACATATTTGGTGACAGAGGTGGGATATCGTCATGGCGTCCCGCGCAAATAAACCGAAGAACGAAGAACAGAATTTTTCTGCTGCATATCCATCAAATTGTAGACAGCCACCTCTAGAACTGGGCCTTTGGCAATTGTCCCTTCGTCCCCCACCTGTTTTTGATGTTGACACAAACTTATGCAACTGGCGTCGTCGCATGGAAATATCCCTTGCTTGCGTCCCAGAAGAACACAAGTCCTCGGTTATAATGAATTCCCTCAGTGACCGAGTTCAGATTTTGTTATCTACTGATATTCGCCCGGATGCCTCTGTCAGAGAAATTTGGAATCAATTAGAGGCCCTTTTTCCAGACAAAGAGCACGAGTCAACTACTCGATCCATCTTTTGGAAGAGGTTTCGTCGAGTGACAGAGTCGGCCGATGCCTTTTTGTAGGATCTTCGGATGCTATCGACCAAGGCTTTTCCAGGGAAATCAGTAACAGAAAGAGAGGCCTTCATCTTAGAGCGGTTTATTGAAGGCACCAACGACGATCGCACTTCTGAGCGTTTTATATGAGAGCTGCCGAGAGACTTAGCGACCGTGGCGCGGATTGCACGCAAAGAAGAGGTGATCCGCGATAGGCGTCCGAAGAAGATTGGCAAGTAAGTAAGTCGCCAGCTGTACGCCGCAACGGCGCTTCGCTGCCACGCAACCACCACCAGTCGCGCGTGGGCTGGGTATACCGCGAGGACGCCCGCCCCTACGCGGGCAAGCTGATGGCTATTAGTTGTGTGCCGCCGACGATGAACCGGACTGAACCGCCCCACGGCCTCAGCTCACATACTTGCCGTCGTCATTGTCCCAAGTGCCAGAATTCACCCTATAAGAAGCCAGTACGACGCCCCCGCAATTTCCGAGGACGCGAATAATCACCGGGAGTGCGGTTCATTGACGGTGTCAGAACTTCCATGTGTACCTTTGGTGTCTTCTAACTTCTATGAATCCCCAACTGTGGATGTAGGAATCAATAATCAGCGATTACATGCCCTCATTGACACCAGTGCAGTACGTAACCTCTTAAAATCTTGTTTCTTGTCCTCCTCAGTAGTCACTAGTCCCGGGCGTCAGATCAGAGTGGCAAATGACATGGTTCTGCTTACTCATGATGTTGCTTCCGTAGATTTTCTGGTCGGTCAAGAGCTTCTTTCTCATGAGTTTTACATAGCCGATCAAATTCCATGGGACGCGATACTGGGGGTTGACTTCTTAAGTCGGTATGCATGCGTCATCGATCTAATCTCCGGAGTTTTGACATTACGTGGCAACCTGCTCCCTCTAAACTTCAAACCTAGTAATGGCTACGTGAAAAAGTTTTTTACTTTGGGTGCTAGCACCGTGGATGTTGAAGGTGAGATATCGGAATTGCTTTCATCTCTTAGCCCTACTGTTGACGGTGAAGCTCGGAAGCGCCTGGAAAATTTACTGCATTCACACAAGCACGCGTTCGCGTGGAAAGGTACATCTTTGGGTAGAACGAGCGTACTTAAGCATTGGATTGAAACAGGGGATGCTCCACCAATACGGCAAGGGCCCAGGCGTGTCCCACCCGTGTATAGACGGGAATTGCAGAAAGTGCTTGATTAGATGTTAAAATATCATACGTCCTTTGCGATCCCCCTAGGCTGCCCCTATTGTATTAGTCAAAAGAAAGGTTGGAACACTGCGCATCTTTGTGGACTATAAGAAGTTTAATGATATGACACGGAAAGATTCCCGCTACCTCGCATTGACGACACCCTGGAATCATTGCATGGCGCCACCTGGTTCTCTATTTTGGATCTCGCCTCAAGTTATCGGCAAGTCGAAGTTCACCCTATGGACATTGAAAAAACTACTTTCGTTATACCCACAGGGCTATATGAGTTTCAGACCATGCCGTTTGGGTTGGATAATGCACCAGCGACGTTTCATTGATTGATGCACATTGTGCTCAGAGATCTGCAGCCAAGCAAATGTCTTGTATACCTGGATGATGTCGTGGTTCATGGACGTACTCTCGATGAACATCTCACGAATCTAGAAACAGTGCTGCAGTGCCTTAGTTCAGCAGGATTGAAGTTGAAGCCGTCTAAGTGCGACCTGCTGAAGAGAGCGGTTAAATATCTAGGTCACGTGATCAGCGATTGTGGGATCCGGAGCGACCCTTCGAAATTACAGGATATCTTAAGTTGGCCTATCCCCGAGTCCATGGAAGAGGTTCGGAGGTTTCTGGGTCTGGCTTCTTACTACAGACGCTTCGTGAAAAACTATGCGGATATGGCAGCACCCTTACACCGACTCACGGAGAAGGGTCGTTCTTTCCACTGGTGCCCGCAGTGTCAGGAATCTTTTGCTGAGTTGCGTCATGCTTTGGCCAGCGCCCCAGTCTTTGTCTTCCCGGATGTGTTACCACAAGCCGTCCCATTCATTTTGGACACTGATGCTAGTGAGGTTGGTATCGGAGCTGTGTTATCACAGATCTCTGATGATAGTACGGAACGGGTTGTCGCTTACGCCAGCCGCAAGCTGACACAAAACGGAGAGAAACTATTGCACTACTAGGAAGGAAATGCTTGCTCTAGTCTCCTTTGTTAGACATTTCCGACATTTCTTGTTGGGTCGATACTATAGTCCGTACCGATCATCAGGCGCTTCGGTGGTTGCGGGAATTTCGCGAACCCGAAGGGCAAGTTGCGCGTTGGCAAGAACAACTACAAGACTTCGACTTTGAAAGTCAACATCGCCTCGAGGAAGAAACACAGAAATTCAGACGCCCTGTCTCGCCGGCCGTCTAGGGCACATGGGGATTGTCCGTCGTGTTCAACCTCTGACGTTGCCGTTGTGTCTCTGAACCATTCGGATCCAACAGACTGGGCATCAGCTCACAGTACAGACCCAGAGACCAAGTTGATTTATGAAGGCCTACGATAGGGGAGTGTGAGGTCTACGAAAGCAAAAATGGCTGGACCTAGCTGGGAAGCGCACTGCTTGTGGTCTCTGTGGTCGAAAATTCGGCTATTGAATGGTGTCATATACTACCAATTTTGTCCGAATTACCCTAGCAGACTTATCGTCCCGCAGTCCATGGTGCAGCGGATACTCGAACAGCTACTTAGGGAGTTGGAGCATGCTGGGCAACAGAAAATGGAGCAAACAGCAGGCTTACGTTTTTGGTGGCTTCAACAGCGTCGAGATATTACGAACTTCTGTAACGCGTGCCATGAGTGCATTCGCTTAAAGTAACCACAGACGATGAACAGGGTCACCCTGCAGTCCATGGTGAGTGGGTATCCCAACGAAACCGTAGGTGTGGACGTCCTTGGACCCCTGCCTGAAACGCCGCGAGGGAATCGGTATATACTTGTTTTGGCCGATTATTTCACCAAATGGTGTGAGGCAATACCAATCCCGTACATTGACGCTAAATCCACAGCTCAGCTCGTGTTTGACCACTGGATTTCACGATGGGGGGCACCTGAGCAACTTCATTCAGATCGTGCTTCGAATTTCGAAAGCTTGGTAGTGTCTGAACTCTGCCGAATAATAGGCATTCGAAAGACTCGGACAATAGCATACCATCCCCAGAGCAATGGCCAAGTGGAGCGCACAAATCGATCGCTGAAGCCTCTTTTAAAAGCGTTCACAGAGGAACACCACAGCCGCGATGTTTCTCTTGCACTTCCACAGTGCCTCCTGTCCTATCGGTCCTGCGTTCACTCATCTACTGATAGCACTCCACACTTAATGGGAACTGGGTGCGAAATGAGATTGCCGATTGCTGATTCGCTCCTTGCCACAGACTATGCCGTTCGTCTAGGTCGGGACCTGACCAAAGCTTATTCGCTCGCGCGAGAGCACTTAGGAGCTACTTGTCGATGTCAACAAGATTACTATAACCAGAAAGTGTACGGCTATCCACTTCAAACTGGACAACGAGTCTACCTCCACACTCCGAATCCATCTCAGGGCGTTCCGGCGAAGCTAAACAAGGAGTGGTCTGGTCCATTCGTGGTCGAGGTAGTATATACTGATTCTACCTGTCGAATCTACAGACAAGGTGAAGACACCGACCGTTCAATTGTTGTCCATTTCAATCATCTCAAACCGGCAACTCTCAGTACTCATCCCCTTTTATCTTCTCAGCGTCCGCTAACAGGCACGGACCCACCAGATGCGTTAACAAAAGTGGAAGTAACAACCACAGCGCCCCACGTCTCGATTACTAATTAGGGCAGCGAGGACGACGCCTCTCGGAGAGGGGGGTGGTGTAGTGCCAATGATCTAACTCTTTTTGACCTTCTCTTTTTTCCTTTCAGATCGGCGGCCTGACAATCAATCAAGAAATTTGGGCTGTTTGTCAGAAGATGACAACGACTTCAAAGAACAATAATAATAATTATCGTTGTATTTCCTATTCCGGTTTGTGTACAATTAACCCTTTTTGTTTGAATAACCTGAATTTTGGACTTTTGCCAATTACACGCTGCTGTGTGCACGCTGTGTTTTGCCTTGACTTTATTCGTGTGCTGTGGCCACTGTAACGCTTGTTGCCGTCGGAATCAGTTCTTCCCTGCGTTTTTCAGCCATTGACGATCTTTCGTGCCCCCTGGATCATTGCCCACTACACATGATTGGTCCATCAGGTGCCAATTACCTATACATCACGATAGATTCTCCGTTCTTCCGGTCGGTGCCTCCGAATCATTTGGAATTTATCATATCTTTTGGTTTTGCTGCCAAACTCTAATCGTAAGAGGGACCTTGGCACCGCTATGACCCCAGACCTAAAATCGACTGAAGATACCTTGAGGAAAGTCACTTCTGCCAACAAATTATTTTTCGCCATACGACGATCCTTCTCCCGCCTAGTTCCAGAGATCTTCAGGCTCGTGTTCATTTCTCATGTACGTCAGCATTTGAACTGCAGTCGGTGGGAGCATAATCGGTGCTCACAAACAAACAGCATTTTCTACTACTTCGTGAATCAATCTTAGCTGATGTCGTCAAACCGGCTGCACATAAACGGCTGTTTACCGGAATCCAATCAACCAACGATGGCTCAATCTTGGAGCTTAGAATGATACCTACACCAGCTTGACCCGTGAGTCCTGCATCGGTGTCTCCGGATGCGTGCAACCAATAACGAGAGGATAAGCCGGGTGCACTTAATTCAATAACCCCATTAGGGTCATTCATCCTAGTTTCGGACACACAACACACATCAATATCCAGTGTCCAAGATGCGCGCGAGTGCAGCCTGTTGACCTATTTGTCTTAGAATTCGAACGTTGGACATCGCCATGGAAACGGGACAGTGTGGCCTCATAAGGGACTGTCGCTGATAGTCATCCGGTGCGTGTCGCGAGATGTTTACAGATGGTTCTACTCCAGTAGCACTTCGGTTGCTGTCAATTAAGCTGGGAATTTTGGAAGGTTAGTAATGAGTGTCGGGATGGGAGTAAGAGAAACTGGTGGAAACAAAAGAAGGGGACGCCAGCAGTAGCTTGTTTTCGCTTATCTGCCCTACTGTATGCAGCAGATAAGGCGACCCTTGATAATCTGCACGACGGCCGATGCAGGATGAAGTTTATGTTTGAAGAAAATGTCATGGTTGTATGTGGGCTGGGATACTGCCAGGGCGTCCAGACCTAGACAGGAGGACCATTAGGGTCCTCATCCAAAGTGTTTGGCTCAAAAGCCTGTCGGAAACACAGCGGGAGGTGGCGTTGATTTAATTTTACAGAAATGTGCGTCATCCGATTTCAAACCCCCAACCTGGAACACTAGGAGACTGAGTTTCTCTGACCTCTCACCATTGACCAACCTGGTAGGAGTATCTCTCAAGGTGCCCGCAAGCACCACCCGGTATAGTTCAGTGGGTCAATGAGGTACGCAAACCGTCGCACCACGTTAAGTTCCATTCTCGTTGCGACGTATCAGAACACATAAGTACACAGCAATCATCAAAGGTCGTTGAAAGTAATCCCCTATCGTTAACATCTAACTTTAAGCCAAAGGAGGAAAATCACTACATGGTGGACACGATCAGGAAGGAGGGATCATTTTCCAGACTGCTTATTGTATTATGCATCTTGAGGGTACCCTCTTGTGCAAACCACTTGGCTGTACTACCTGCTGCCAGTTTTCTTTCGCTTATTGTTCTCCAGGTTCTCTCAGGACGCGAAGGAATACCTCTAGCAAAGCAAAGTGTATGAACATGTTGTGCTGACTAGCAAAGCATACATACACCACAGCAATTACCATCTTATTTTGCTTTCAACTTTCTCTTTTTACCTTAGATACATAACTTTAGCCTGAATGCCTCGGCCTCGGGCGTTTCTTGCGACACTGTACCCGTTGGATGTCATTTTTTACGGGCTATTCCCACTGGGTTTTTTACTCATAGTCGCTTCGACATTGTGCGACTAGCGCGCTGGTGGGGAGGTATGTAGTAACGTCATCATTTGAGTACACAAGTTTTGGTTGGACATCACCCTTAGTCAACTGACAATTTTACTAGCTGTATTGACCATCATTTGTAAGTCTAGCCAACGCATAGTCGTTCATCGAACTTTAAGCAACTGACTATTAAGGTTTACCAAAATCACCAGCGTTCCTTCACAGGCTTTCTTTTGTTCTTCCATTATTAGTTTGTGGAAGCATTGAACTACATCAATATGAATGTATGCTTCTACTTAACGGCATCCAAAAGCAACGGGGCCTTATTTCCGAATCCAGCAACTAAAAAGAGCTCCTACAAGCTAAAAGGATTGGAGATCCCCTTGCATCCAGATGTAGGCCCGTCGGTCCGAGAGAACCTGAAATCCGCTCTCATAGAGTTGAAGCTGCGTATCAATAGTGAGGAAAGTAATCTCCGTAAATTTTCGGATAGTTCCTGGCGTTCGCCGAATCCGGATCAACTGGTCGATAACGCTTTATGTGCGCCTGGCGGTTTCTTCTGCAGCCTGCGCGTAACTTTCACCAATGTTTTGTTGTTTAATGGACAAACGTCACGATCTATATCACTTCATTGCCTCTCGTCGTCCGGAAGTACTAGAACTTGCTGGAACCTGGTTAAATTTTGTGGTAACTACCCATGAATTCCAGATCAGTGGATACTCTTGCTTCCGGTGGCGGTCGTTACTGTGCGGGAGACTAATAGACACATACCGAACCGGAGACGGCCTGTGCGAGCAGCTATAGTGCTCGATCCGTCTGAGAGAAAGTGAACTGTTTGTGGATGTTGCTTATCACACCCCGCGAAGTCAATATCTGTATTGGTTACCACACTTCAGAGGCTACATAAGCTGGCCCAGCTTCTTGCTTATGGGCGATTTTAACCCCTCAAATACCGTGACCTGGTGTCCAACTACTCCCCGAGCACTGTGAAATCGAGGCGCAGTTTGCGGAAATGATATTTGAGACTGGTGCAGCACAACACATCTGCCAACCAACGCGCGCAACACCACATTCCGCTCCATCCTACTTGGATCTATTATTAACTAGTTACGAGCAACGTGTACCTGATATTCAGGTCCTGGGGCCTCTGGCGCCTAGTGTTCACACGATGGTCTTAGCCAGCATAGAGCTATCGTTGCCCTATTCGCGTCCGCCAGAGCTGTCTTACAATTACTGGAAGACCGTGTACGATGGTCTCAGATGAGCCGCTAGTGAAGTGAGCTGGTTGCTACCGTAGGATTCATCTGTTGAAGCCTGTTGGTCTGTTATAAAAAGGGTGTGTAATCTTTGTACGCTCGTTTCGTACCCTTCAAATATAGGGAGGCTGGACCAGTAAAGCCACATTGGTTCGACACAGGGTATTGCCAATTGGCTCGAGGGCGACGCGTGTTGTGGAATAAATTTCTCTGTCTATGATTATGAGGCCTACAAGAGAGCGGAATCTATGCAACGCAAAACTACGAAAGCTTTGACAGTTCATAGAGGAGTCCGCAACCTCGGTGATGTCAGCCCCCAAGAAGACTTGCCTACGTAAAGCGACGCCTGAGGCCCGCTGGTTACCTAACAGTGTTCGAGAGCTCAACTGGACAGTCTCGGACCTTCAACACTGAAGGTGCGTCCGCATTGGCGGCGCACTTCGCTTCCATATTTACAGTTGGGCATGCGTGTATGTCGAATTCGACGTGTGAAGCTCCTACGGAACTCGAGTGCCTGGCTTGTGATGTGGAAGATGTCCGCAGTCTGGTCGTCAGTCTTGACGCTAGGAAGCCTGCCGGACCCGATAGCCTCTATCCGCTAATTTTACAGTCCATATGGGCCATCATCTCTCCTGTTGTGACTGATCTTTTTGTCCTGAAAAAAGTGAGAATTGCCCGTAAAATCCACTATTTTAGCGCTTAATCGATTATTAACGATTATCGCATCGATTTCGAACGTTCCGCACGTGACTACCAACCATCTGACATCTCAGCCAACTCTATGGGGAACCACTAACCTTGGCAGTTTACTTCCCAACTCCAGAAGTCGAAGACCAGTAAGAGATCAATAACTACAGCCAAGGTCCGCGGCAATTGTACAGTGTTTTGTTGACGGCGGTCAACACATTATTTTGTCATGGCCATTGGTGTTCTGCTTTTTCCTTCGGTTGGGCTAGAAGTTTTGTAGAGCATTAAAGTGCAAATTTCCGAGTCGCGTCTTGTGAGATGATTATAACATTGTTCAGCAGATCTTTGTGTGAAAGTATATTGCCGAGCGATTGAAAATGCTCGGTATTGAAGCCGATTCCGTTGGGAGGTAACGCGACTAAGTTGGACAATTACCAGCCGATTTGTCTCTCCTCAGTTTCGCTCATACTACTCGAAAAGATTGTGAGAAAAGGTCTTCTCCAGCTGTTAGAGTCGAAAGACCTAACGCCCGCGCAGTGGGGTTTCATGAAGGGTCACTACTGCTTGCTTTTGACGCAGCGTGGATGGTTGCAGACGTTGAACCGGGGGAAAACAATAGATGTTATCTACGTTTATTTCAGCAAAGCTTTCGATAAAGTGAACCATGAGGTCCTTCTCTACAAGCTGAAGATGTGTGGTATTAGTGGCGCACTACACCATTGGATCAGTGACTTCCTTAGTAGAAGTAAATGGATAGTACAGAGGAATGACCACCTAACGTAATGGTACCCGTTCACTAGCAACGTACCCGAAAGCCCAGTACTGGGGCCCATTTTGTTCCTGTTCCACATTGACGAAGTACCTCAGCTTCTTTGGTCGCCCTGTGCATTGTTTACAAACGACCTGAAGATTTGGGGGGCTATTGATTCTCCCGACGACATCTGGCATGTCCTACGCTACGATATCCAGTGGTGGGCGAAACACTATCACTTACTAGAACAACGCGACAGGTTAGCACACTAGTACTGTTGCGGCACATTAGCTGAGGTGTGCTTCTCACTCTCAGCTAACGTGTATTGAAGATGACACTAGTACAGTCCCTGGAACCTTTTCCATGCCAGACGCTCGCTTCAAGCATGCCCATATTGACACTGTTCGACCTCTACTTTTCATCTGACGGTTTTACTTACGTGTGAACGCATTGGCCGCAAGCTGTGCTGCTACGCGATGTCTCAGCCGAGGCGGTTGCACGAACTTGTACCGAAACCTGGTTATCCATATTTGGATCATCCGCCACGGATAGAGGGACTCAGTTTCATTCTGCCTTGTTTCGTGACCTAAACAGCATGTTTGGTTTTTTTCACCCGTACACGACAGCGTGTACTCAGGCTGCAGACGGTTTTCGAGCGTTTTCATCGTTAACTCAATGCCGCATCGCAATCGAATTCCCAGTGGTTGGGGCGTCTACCGACCATTCTCCTCAGCGTCCACAACACTAAAAAGGATGATATCGGTCGTTGTCCCGTAGAGCTCGTATTGGATTCAAGCGTCTCCGGAGAAGTCTATCTTGCATCGTAGGTTGCACGACTAGCAAATCTTTAGCGCCGTTCGTCCGATGCCACCGCTACTTCGCTAAGTCAGCAAATTCACCGCAACCTACACACCTGCCCTTTCATCCTCGTGCGCGTCGGTGCTTTCCGTAAACACGATACTACTATACGAGAACTCCTCCAATGTCATTATTCACAATAGAATGGTTGCAAAGATTCCATCAGCATCGATCCTTTAAACCCAGTATACGTCGAACTCCAGTTACCGCCACAGATTGCCGACACTCCTGGCACTGAACAGACCGCTGCAGAACACTCATCCCACCCAACCAATGTTCTCTCCCCACATCTGTCACGAACTCAAAAAGGAGGCATCAGCAGTGCATCGGTACGCAGTACAGACGCTTTGCTGAAGCGCAACCACCACCACTCGCGCATGGGCTAAGGGTAATTCGAGGCTAACTCTGTCCCCTATGCAGGGTCGAACCCACGACCTAAGAATTACAAAGCAGGTTTGTGATCCTTATGGCCACGGACCGGCTATGAACGCAGACGAACAATAGCGTACGCGTTTTGGACGTGTAGTTTTCTCTTTTTCAAACTGGCCACTCAAGATAACTAGTACGTATCGAACGTTTATTTTGACTTACGCTCCAGGAAGATGTTCTGTGACATTTGTAAACCACTTTTTTAACTGTGCCTTTCTGCTTCGCTTTCCACGATTTTTGTGCAGTCTGATTATGCGAAACCATATACGCCTCTTCGAACTTCGTTACACGTTCTTGCTTCGTTTCGCTGTGCGTGATTTCGTCGTGATTTCTCTGCGCTGTTGCCTAGTATCCGGTAATCGGAGTTATTGTTAAATACGAATTGCATGTGTTCTTGACGCGTACAGCCATCTCAAAGGCTTGCAATTAACCGGAGATCAGGTTATTGGTTTCTCTTGTAACTAGTTGAACTATTTATTAGCCTATTGGGGTAATCTTTTCCTCTTTTAGTCTGGCCACCCCAAACGTTTAGCAAGAACTTGTTGCAAAGACAGAGAACTATTGGGATCCCTCACAGTGCCCTGCAAACATAATGGATGGCACACTCAGCTCCTCATTGAGGTTAACATGGAGTGTGAACAACAGATGGGCCTGAACTGGCTCTTGTAGAACACTAATGAACACAGCTTGTCGGTAAGAGAGCCATACGCCTACTCGCACGCGTCTCTTTTCCCTAATAACACCGAAATCCATTGCAGTGCTTGATCAGAAACACCGTAGGATTGCCGTTTAAACCGATGGCGATGATGTGGTACAGTGTCATAAACCAAGGAATTCAGTACGCAATGGATCTTACGCTTGACCTAAATCTGCAGTCTCAGCTTGGCAATCCTAAGTCAGTAACAAGTTAGACAAGAATAACTTTTGCGAAAGCTTTTCCAGAACAATTCTTACTACTTTTCAATAACTGGACTAACACGCTTGTTAAACTAACCTAACCTTTAACTTATATATCAGGGTCTTGGATATCCTCTCTCCGTTCAGCAGGTAGAGAACAAGTATAGAGAGATAACTCGAATAAACGAATTTTCTTCAACGGTTTTACATTTCCCTACGGCATCCCGGTACTCTTGGTCTCCCACTTATTGGGAATTCATGCTTCCTCATCTCACGATTGTGTTCGTTTGCTAATTTGTATACTGAACCTTTCTTAATTTTTACGTTGCCTTCTTTACACAGGGCGACATAGCTAGCCAACGTTCGGATCTATTATCCCCGGATGAAAATGACACTTTACATTCTCTTCTGGGTCGAGGATGTTGTGCGCTGTCAGTTGGAGTTGTGCGTTTGTACAACGTGAAGGATAACAGTAGTTGGGCACCTAGCTTGTGTGGTATCGCTTGCTTTGTTCGCGATAAAAACGAGCGTGCCTATTTCATACGAGTTTACGACATCATAGTGAGTCAATTCATCATTGTTCAAATGTGGTATTGCCCATCTTTTCAGACGAGAAAAGAAGTGTTTCAGCAGGAATTGTATTTAGAAATCCAGTATCTTCGTCCACTTGCTCAGTTCCACATTCTGCAGGCAGACTCTGGTCCAGTCGGAATCTCCTTCGCTTCACTTGATGAGGCTAAGGCATTTGGGGATTTGGTCATTAAAAGAATAGAGAAATGTTTGAGGGATCGCACAAATACGATGACAGTTGCGACAACTCCGGCCACAATACGCACTACGTTTCTTCAACCTGGGATTAGTGAACCTAATCGACCACTTGTTCCTTCTTTTGAGAGGGCAAGCAGCAAACAGAAGAAAAGAAGAGGAAAAAAGGTAATCCATTTGCAATGTTTTTCGTTACTATGTTTTGGTGTTCGCTGGCTCTCAATCCGCCGCATTGTATCCCCATAGAGTCTAGTCATTCATTTGGAGCCAGGAAACTTTAACGGCGACTTATTATGGCGACATCTGCTAGTCATCCTGACATGCATCTAAATAGTCACCACACCTTTGCTTCCCTAACCATTGGATGTAACCCTAACAATCGGACCGTTTGCCTTCATTGATCGGAACGTCCCTCAACTCTTCACAACTTCTCGGGACTCAGCGTTTCTAAATATCATGTTATTTCTGATATTGCACCTCTTGCAAATGTGCAATTTTTCTTTCGCTGTTGCTGCGACTACCGTGCTTAATAGGTCAATCCTCTTATATCATCGACTCACTGGGTCTTTCAGATTGATTGCTCATGAGCTTCCATTATAATTTGCTATGCTGATCAATTTAACTGTCCTCACTGTTGAGAAGAGGCTTCATACGATGGCAATGCAAACTTTGTAGGTGCGAGTTGCACCGGAGCTGCTCAGTGAAATCCTACTCACCTAAAAGCCGAACTACTTACAATTGGGACAGAAACACCACCTTGCTTCTCACCATAACCAAGGGTTTTTATTGAAGAATGCAGAATTCTGCAACTGACTTTCCTTACGCAAGTACTATGGGTATACTGAATTATTAAGATTTGTTTTTAATTCCGGCTAGGCCGCCCTTCATCTCCCTTGTTTTCATGCTTGTGGATTGGAGAAAGCGTAAACGAGCCCCTTTACTAGAGCACACTACGAAGAGTATTCGCCCACCCATATTCATGTCGCAAGTTTGTTTTTCCCTCGTGCATCTGTTTGCTTAAGCGTCAACCGATTCTACCCGACCTTTTCGCTCAAACATGCTGTTCTATCCATTTGTTTTCTATAAGGTTCCCGCAGTAAGCCATAACCTCATACAGACGCTTCACTCTTGCAATCGCAGGCTGTAATACGCGGGCTGAAGTACTGCGAGTTCATCCACAAATACACAGTTACATGCTATACACCTGAACCACCACCACGTTGATACACAATTTGATTTCTATTCTTCCATCTTCGCAACCGTCCTTCTGTGGCAGCACAGGTTTTTCCAATTCCTTCCCCGAATTCTTCTGCTTTTTTCTTCAGAAGTGGGCTTGTAACTGTTTGGTTGTGCTCACGAACCGAGGTCATCCAGTCTTTCACTGCAGTTTCTTCTTCATTCTTTCCACATCGCATCCTTTTCCGAGAGCTTGCAGTGCAATGCGACAAATTCTGCCAGATTTCCTTTTCATTGGCAATCAATCTGGCTAGGGTAGGACGAGAAATGTGTGAATCACGCGACATCTTGACCTGCGAGGTTCTTGGTGGATATGTTTTAATTTGTCCAAAACGTCTAACTTTTCTGTCAAAGACAAATCCTTTCTGTTACTTTGCATACTTGTGTGTAACCAATAGAGTAGTGACAAATGTGGAGCGGAAACTTTACCCGATTTTGCTCAGTTCCCAAGTTTTGAATAGGGCCGACGGTTTGCCCACAGCCGTCTGTACCCTTAGGTTGCTCATGTATGGAATGACAGGTAACCTTTTCTGATCTGTCACTAATGCCGCCGCCATCTTTGTTGTTCTTGACTCGATTGGACTGGCTAACTGTGGGGCAATCGTAATAAACGAGTCAAAGAGGGCATAAAATTGACATAACGACAAGAGCATAACTCACGCAGCTGGGCACTTAAGCAGTGGGACGACCCCGGTAATGGGCAATTAGATGGTGAACAGTTAGCCTATTTATGGGAAATGCATTTGTATTTTGTAAAACTGGGCAATAAAGCGAGGTGAGCTATAAACCGGGCGGGCAATAATGCGGGTTTGACTGTATTTAACATGAAACTGCATAATCACACAAACCATCACTGTGGTGTGCAAGTGTATTAACACTCTACTACGTCGTACGAGCTGCTGTATATGAACCCCTTGCTGAGAATCAGCCTGATTCCAACTCTACTATGCAGTAGCTCTATAGGTGTTCGGTTCACGCAGTAACGATGATCATAGTGTAACCTCATACGCTATCCTTGACCCATAAAAAGACAAGTAGACTTATCGGCCGTCGATGGTTAGAGCTGGTGGCGTGTTGTAAGTTAGCGTCTTCGAGGCACATGCCGGAACTTGCTGCGCTCTTCTCAGCATTTCTAACAATGCTTGTGCAGGGGCTACTTTGAATCAAACAGAACATAGTGTGATTGGTGCGACCCGTACCTGATCAGAAGGCAGCTTTTGTTTCAGCGGTTTGACGTTCACACGGATCAGTCACCGTTGCAGTTTAATGCTTATGAGCAGTTTAGAGGCAATGGGCACAATTCGGACACCTCTCAGATTCTTGTTTTTAGTCCTTTGCTTATGGGAATGACGGTTGACGATCGTCGGTTCATAATTGTTTTGTATTTTTGTACCATCAACGTTTGACCGATTCCACTGCTGTTTGCATACCATTCACTACCGCCATTGACCTTCGGGCCCATTCGCCTCGTGCTACTTCTACATCGCAGTTTCGCTTTACACATATGGCTCGCGGGTCATCGCATGGACACTATCCACGGACTTCCTATGCCTTCGTTCTCATCATTTACTTTACCACCTATCGAACTGATGTCACCTTCAAATCCAGAGGGGTGTGGTGATACATATCATCTAAACCTACGGATTCCCAGCATGTGTTACGGCCCACCAACAGTATTCATCCTTCTAGTGTGTGTCACGTATGCATGTTCACGGTCACAGATACGCCATCCGAACCTGATTTGCGTGTAACAATCACCAAGCAAAATGGAGCCTCGGCTTTCATGGGTCCCTTGGGCGAGCCTGTGCATAGTTTCTTTTGGAATCAGTCGGGATGTCGGAATCGAGAGACGATTCTTACTGTTTAGGATTTGGAGTGCCCGCATTCTGGAGTAATATGAAGAGACGCTCTTAATTCGATTTTACTTACTGACTGTCATCTCATCTCCGATTTCAAGTATATCCACTCACCCCAACTGGCCCTACCGTGACAAGGAAAATCAACGTGAGAACGTTTAGCCGAGTAAGCCTGTTGGGACAAGGTCGGAAGAAACCAGTGGGACAGTTAGCGATAATGGCGAACTCGAAACAATGAGCAAATAGTAAACCACAGGCTTTGCGCTTCGACGGTTCCAAATTATTCACCATTGATTTCCCGACTCTTTGGCTCTACGACTGTGCGGCAATGTTGAAAACTGCAAAGGCCCTTTTGGTGAAGTAGACCATGGCTCTGGAAACGTACCCTATTTTTCTTTCCCTTCTATCCCCGGCATCGTAATAATGGGGACTAGAGTTCAGCTGATCAACTGTGATCTTTGCACTAGTGTGCGGTGCATCCAGTTATTTTAGATCATGTCACAAACCTAACAGCATTGGCAGTAATAATTGTGGTAGGGGCATCAGGTGTATGCCACTGCGTTGCACCAACGCTCCTCTGATACGCAAACGTCATCAGTTGCGCGCATGATAGGCTTATTCGTAGGTTGTCCACACCTACGGCAATTGGAGACAGAGGCATTCGGGTTGCACACATAAGCCTTATCCCTTCGGTCACTGGTCGACTTCTAGAGGAATGGACTAAAAATTTGACGAAATCTGAAAAGGTGAATACAAAAGCTTCTTGGTTTCTTAAATTCGCGATTTCTGATGTGGCTGACTCCAAAGCCCCATCTAAGTTCAGTCTTTCTTTAGGCTTCTGCATTCTATTTTACTGTATGATTAACTGATCGCGTCACTGTACCATTAAGCCATATGAACCGCGGTAACCTGCTCATAGGTATGGTTGACAGCATCCGGTTCCGGATTTGCCTGTCACTGCAGCTTCCAGTGGGACAGCCACAGGACGCCTACGCCTACAGAGGTACCATGAGTGGCTTGCGCTGCACCACCCACAGCTCCATCCACACACCCCATATCCAGTGTAAAACCGAAGGAATAAGACCGGAAGGCATGTGGATGGGAACCACGTTGCATAAACGGAGCCGGCCCGCAGTCCTTCAACAAGCAGAGTGGAAACATTCATGCCTAATTAGGAAATCGTGCGTACCAGATGTACACGAGGCGGTGGCTGCACCGTAGTCCTCTCCACAGTGAGTGCATAGAACAACTATTTGTGCATAGCACGGTCACGAGGACGGTGCACTCTATCCCTCCTAGCAACGATTCACACTCTCTTAGAGCCAGTAATCGTGGTGGATGTTGATAGAGAGGTAGGCACCTCGTCAACATTCACATCAAGCTCAGCCACACCGAGGATATCAGTAAGCAAGATGGAATTTGAAGGAAACTAAGCACACAAAATGGACACAAAAATGAGCTATAATATGAGTATTGCACAATTCAAATAAAGTGGAATACATTTCATCCAGATTAAAAAGATGTGTAAGTCGGTTTGGCCCAACTGCGTTGAAGAAGCATGGTGTATACTGATCACCTAACGAACATTAGACACGGGTTTAAGGGCCGCTTAAATGTAGCAATTTGCGGTCTGTTACCAACCAATGAATGGTGGACCTCAGTGCGAGTCACTCGGTTCTCCAAATGTGACTAATAGATTAATGTCCTCAGCGTTTACTAGTCCATACAGCAACACTGTTCATTCCTCAGCGTTGTAAGCGCTCCTTTTAGCCGATTAGTTTTTTCCCCACCGTCTCCACAGATGACAGTGGCTTTGACAGGTCACTCGAACCTCGACAATGCAACCAGTGGTAGTGATATGAATACTCAGATAAGCAAACTGATTAGTCACTTAAATTAATAGACCTTTTTTTCTGAACTTTGCGAGAAGCTGATCTCAAGCGAGGGCTGATCCGAAGTATCAAAAACCTTTCATGTCCTCGCAAAAGGTTAACTACTTGCAAAGTGTATGGGGTATCAAAGAGTGCATGTATGGGTGCTGATGTTGATGCTACATGTTCCATTTCATATATTAGT